ATGCACTGTATAGTCTAGACCTCGAACTCTCAGCACTCCCGACTCAGCCTGGGATTACACATGTATGCCACCACCCCGACATTATTTTACTTTTAAGTTTTGTAAGTTGTTGAGTTTTACTTTGGCACTAAGATATAGTACCTACATTTCATACACATGAAAAAGCATTACCATGAGCAAAATGTATTTTTTCAGAGCAGGATTATCAGATTTTTATTTTGTGCTTATGATAGCTTGTGGTTCCTTCTAATTCAGGTTAGTACTGAATTTTAAACTGCACAAGGACAAGCCACGTACAGTGTTATGTCCCTATAGTCCCAGCTCTTCCACAGCATAGTGGAAAAGTCTCTTCAGCCAAGGAGTTTGAGGCCAGCTGGGTACAGTCGTGAGATGCCATCTGAAAATGAATAAATTCCATAGGGTATATGGTAATATGTCCCTTTCCTTTAGTGACCACATAACCACACAGCTCTAACTGAAATATCATTGGTTGGAAGATAATACCTACCCTCTAGGGCTTTTATCACTCTCAATTCTTAGAACAGAAACCTAATTTATCTTCCTACTCAGCAGCTGGCTGTGTCCATAATAGTATAAAAATCTTAAATTTCCACACATGACCCTTGCTAAGAGTTACTCCTTTTTGCACTTGTCACCTAACGCAAATCATTGTATTTTGAAAAGACGGATTATTATAGCAATGTGTATTGGGGGATTTAAGGTTCTACACTATTAGATTGTATTAGATTTTTTAGATTTTAAAACCTGAAAAATCTTAGAAGTTCTTTCTGTGTGTGTAAGTCATTTGTGGTGGTCACATGAATGAAACTTTGCAAGGGCCTTTTCTGTAATTCAAATGATGACCTGCTTGATCTGTACTGCATACTTCTGCTGATTATCTTCAATCGAGCTGTTTATCCAATTAAGGATAATTCTTTCTTTATTCCTCTTTTAATACAGTGCCCAATAGACACCAGGAAACAACTTGCAGAGAACTTGGTAGTCATAGGTGGCACATCTATGTTACCAGGATTTCTCCACAGGTTGCTTGCAGAAATAAGATATTTGGTAGAGAAACCAAAATACCAGAAAGCACTTGGCACCAAGACATTTCGAATTCATACTCCACCTGCAAAGGCTAATTGTGTGGCCTGGCTGGGAGGTAAGAATTTAATTTTTAAAATACAAGTATTGTATTTTGTTTGTTTCCAAGAAGTACTACAAATGGCCATATTAAAATGGAAGATTCAGTGTTCAAAACTGCCCACTCAATAAATAGAACTATAGCCAGATGTGGTGGTACACTCTGGGAGGCTAAGGCAGGAGGATTGTGGTGAGTTCGAGAGCAGCCTACGAAGTGAGCTCAAGGCCAGGCTGAAATACATGGCTAGACCCTGTCTCAAAAAGGCTAAATAAATAAATAGAACTGTTAACTGACATAGGCCTGTAATTTCAGTGCTTGAAGGCTGAGGCAGGAGGCAGTGAGTTTAAAGCCAGCCTAGGCTGCATAGTGAGTTCAAGCCCAGCCTAAATTACATAACAAGACCTTGTCTCAAAATAGAACAAACAATTAAATAATTTTCTTTTAACATTAAATATTCTTTAAATCATTTTGTTAGAATTGTATAGTTCTTTTGGCATTTGCACTATGATTTTAAGTAAACTTCATCCAATTCAAGTCATTCTTCAGGATACTGAAAGCTATGAATTTATTCTAGTGAAGCCATCATTGCTCAAAACATTTGTTTTAGTTTCTGCCAAAGCCAGGCAGTGACATGAAAGTTGGTTTGTCTGCTTCCTTGTTTTGCATTACTAGGCACTGACCCCAACCAAGTTACATTTCCAGCCCATTTTAAAATTTTTTATTTTGAGACAGGGTCTGAGTTGCCCAGATGGGCTCAACCTAGTGATCCTCCTGTCTCCACCTCCTAGAGTACTTGGATTAGATAAAAAAAGAAAAAGACACAAAAAAAAATTTTTTTTTAAATAATTGACCAGGCGTGGGGGCATATACTTGTAATTCTAACACTCGGGGGGCAGAGAGGCAGGAAGAACACCTCGAGTTTGACCCTGTCTCAAAATTAATTAATTAAATTTAATTAACGAAAATTAATGGAATGTCAATTCTTGTAAGGTAGAATTTGGTCAAAATGTAATTTTGATCTAGGACTGTTGGTTTTTTTGTTTCTGTTTTTTGTTGTTTTGTACCCTCGTGCTTGCCAGCCAAGTGCTGTACTGCTAAGCTATATCCCTGGCCAGATTCAATAGATTTCTTACAATGCAGGTGCTTATGCCGCTGAGCTAAAACCCCATTCCCAGAGTTAATAGATTTAATAACTAACTTATTTTTATAAAGACTGCCTATCCATCCCATCTTTTTTTGTTGTTATAACTATCTTAACTACGTATTGTTTCTTTCAGCTTCTCACACTAGTGAGACAATACGATATTTATACATGTATGTGATTTATTTCACATATGAATATGGTCTGAAGTTACATCCATTTATCTATAGAAGTCTCGAGTTTGTCCAAAGCTGTGTTGTACTGTGTTGTATAAAAGTACTGCATCTTTTTATCCATTCCTCAGGCAATGCGTCCCATCTTTCTAAGATTTTTAATGTAGAATTTTAGGGCTTTAAAACGCTTATTGATTTTACATTGCCATTTTGTTTATCAACATGTAACCACAGAGTTGTGTTGAAGAAAATTAAGTGAGTGTCTGACCTGACTGAGTTTGCACAGCGCTGTCTGTGTCTTCCACCCTCCTTCCTGGCAGCAGTAATGCTTGGGGCCATGTTCACTTTATTCTGCTAGGAGCCAGTTCAGTTACCTCTAACACAGCAGTTCTGGCTTATCCCATTATTGAAAATGAGTGTAATGAATCTGAAGTGTGAATATGCTGGATTTTACAACTCTTTCTGTTTTTTGTTTTTGTTTGTTTTTGAGACAGGGTCTTATACAGTTCAGGCTGGCCTTAAACTCACTTGGTAGCCCAAGCTGGTCACAGACTCACAGGTACCCTTTTGCCTCAGCCTCCTGAGTGCTGGGATTACAGGTGTCCACCACCATGCCCAGCTCGCAACCCACTCTTTGTGTAATGGATGTGTATGTATTTAAAGTTTTCTGGTAAAGGTTCTCATTCTAGCTAAACATTTTTACCACACAGGGGCTATTTTTGGAGCGCTGCAAGATATACTTGGGAGTCGTTCAGTTTCAAAGGAATATTATAATCAGACAGGCCATATCCCTGATTGGTGTTCCCTCAATAATCCACCTTTGGAAATGATGTTTGACGTTGGAAAAACTCAGCCACCACTGATGAAGAGAGCATTTTCCACTGAGAAATAAAAGTTTGGTTAAATACCAGTTTCCCTTCAAGTAATTATAAGCAAACTGTACAAAGTATGTAGGGTGCTTTACTATAGACAACTTCAGTGGAAGTAGAAGCTTTCTGTATTTATTCTTCACTTTAATGATGTTTAATTCATTTGACTATGCTTCTCTTGTATAGTAATCTGTTGTATTTATATCAGTAAAATAAATTTAAACAGTTTAGTTGTGGGTATTTTTACATATTTCAGCTTTCAAAAAGAGTACAATGCTTCTCCATCTTCACATAATCCAGCCAAGGACACTGATACTCCATGAATTTTATTACTTTCAGCAGTTATTACATTTAATGAGTAAATAGTGTTAACCATTACCAGTTATTTCAAATACTGGCCTAGATCTATTTTTTTAGCCCTTTGGTTTGATACTTCTGCATCCATAGTTATAATACTGCTGCCTTTCTAAAAATACATTTGATCCTTTGGGCTGAGACTTTGATAGCAGGGTCCAGCATCTGTTAAGCAAAGTGTGGAAATCTTAACTACAGTTTCTTTTATCAGCCACTCTTATGTTTCTAAGAAAGACTTTATACAAAATTACAACTGCTTTGTAAACATGTACCTCTTATGTCATCTCTTTTGCTTTTGTGCTTATATCTTCTCAGAGCAAGGTTCTTTGAAAAATGTGCAATGTGCTCATTCATTGTTCAACTTTTATTGCATGTTTGTTTTTGTTTATTTTTGAGACAGTGTCTTGCTATGCAGTCCAAGCTGGCCTTGAACTCACTCTATAGCCCAGACTGGAGGTGTTTCTCCCCCCTCAGCATCCCAAATGCTGGGATTACAAGCATGGCTGCCATACCTGACCTTCATCATGTTTTTAATGAGCTGTTCTTGTTGAAGTTTTGCTTGTTGTGTTCTGAGTGCCTGTGAGGACAGGAAACATATAGCTGAGTGTGTTCATATGCCAAAGGACAGAGTAGGAATTGATACATTTTCTGGTCTGTATATCCTGAAGAATATTCTTAAGTTTAATCACCTGATTTTTGTTTTCTGGATCATATTCTTAAATATAGCTATTAACACTTGAAAAAAACACTAGAAAGGTTTAAAAATAGAAATGGAGGGCCAGAGATTTAGCTCAGTGGCACAAGTGCTTGCCTGGCAAGTGTGAGGTCATGAGTTTGATCCCTAGTACCAAAAAAAAAAAGAAAGAAAGAAATGCATTCATTTCTAGAACTCAAGTGTGAGTGTGAGTGTGTGTGTATTTAAAAATACTACACCGGGTATGGTGGCGCATACCTGTAATCCCAGTATTCTGGAAGGCCAGCATGGGAAGATTACAAATTCAAGCCCAGTCTGGGCAATTTTGTGACTTAGCAAGATCCTGTCTCCAGATAAAAACATGGGAGGGTAGCTCAATGCCAAGGCTCTGAGTTCTATCCTCAGTACAACCAAAAACTAAGCAAACATAAGTTGTAGCAGCCTGGTATAAGTGCTACATGGCAGTAATCCAGCCTTTAGGGAGTATAAAATAGAAGGACCATGCGTTCAAGTCTTGCTTGAGCAACCTAGCAAGATCCTACCTCAAAAGAAAAAAAATAAAAGGTTGGGGGTATAGCTCAGTGGTAGAGCACCCCTGAATTTGACCCCCAGTATAGAAAAAAAATTTTTTTTTTCTTTTTCTTTTTTATTGGTACCAGGGATCGAACTCACGACTGCCTGCTTGTAAGGCAGGCGCTTATGCCGCTGAGCTAAATCCCCAGTCCCCGAAAAAAAAATTTTTTTTAAACCTCTATCTTCGTCACCTAATGCCACTTTTATAGTGCAGGACTAAGGTTCATTTGTTACCTACTGAATGTCTGCTATGTGCCTAGTATAGCTTTAATACTAAAAGTGCTATAGCAATAAGACCTTAGCACTTGTAAACTAGCAGAAATGGATGTGTAAGCAAGCAGTGATATAGGTGTAGTGAGGGGCCTGGACAGTATCAGCTGCTTGTTACTGATGTACATCTGTAGGTAAAGGGGAAAAAAAATTCATGAAAAGAGGCTTTTGACCTGGTTCCCACAGGATCTCAATAGTTGGCAGTTATTCTAGGTCACGTGAACTGAATTTTCTACACATCTTCAATTGGGTGGTGTCACATTACAGAAACAGGATAACATTGAGATATCACTAATTATACTTGAAGAGTTTTGAAAAACATGGTAAACCAGTAACTAGCACTGTGAAAGTTCAATCTGTCAATCTAGTTTGCTCATCCAAGTTTCCTGAAGGTGAGATTCTTCTGTGGGCCTACCACTGTTCCACAGTGGAACAGGGATCACATACAGTGATTATTTTCCAAGCACATTATCCATAACAGACATAAGTTTCACATAATCCTTCCTATACAGCCTTCATCCTCCTCAGGAACATATTTCCTAACTTTTTTTTTTTTACTGGTACCAGGGATCGACCTCATGACCATGTACGTGCTTGCAAGACAGGCGCTTATGCTGCTGAGCTAAATCCCCAGCCCCATATTTCTTAACTTTGAGATCACTCAATGAGCTTTCCATAAATAGATATACTGTTGTCAGTTACATAGTTTAACTGTGTAAGTCTCTAAGGGGACTCCCCCAGTCCCCAGCCTGTGCACCAGCAGAACTACTGTTCGCAGGGAACTCGGCTCAGCACTAGTCAAACAGGAAAGGAGATAATAGGCAAGGAAGTTTGCAGGTCCTGGGGACATCTGGAGACACCCAAGGATTTACACCAGACACTTTGAAGGATGACGCACTGAGATGCAAGATCACCAGAAGACGGACTACAGATGTTCTTGGGCTCTTCCTGCCAAATGTCTGTTGCCTTTTGTCCACCTCTATAAAGAGGACATACTTCTCTTTGTTCAGGGCAGAAGGTCTGATCATGCTGTCTGCTTGTTCCCAGGCACAACAAATTCCGTGCCATGTTGCCTTCACACAAACCTGATGGTCTCTGCTGGTTAACTATGTTACTGTAACATGATTTCTGCAGGAATGATTATTTTATTTTTCTGCTTCACATTCATACTGACTTGGTCTTTCATTGACATTAGCTTACAACATTTTCTTATTGTTAAGTAATATAAAAACATCACTTGGGTGGTGTCACATTACAGAAACAGGATAACATTGAGATATCACTAATTATACTTGAAGAGTTTTGAAAAACATGGTAAACCAGTAAATAGCACTGTGAAAGTTCAATCTGTCAATCTAGTTTCCTCATCCAAGTTTCCTGAAGGTGAGATTAAACTGAGTTATAAACTGAAAGTTTATAACTAACTATAAAGTGGCAAATGACCAGTGAGAGGAGTTAAGGAGTGGTCTCTGTTAATTGGTTGAAATACACCTCACAAAAAGATACATTGTGGTCTCAACCTCAGTACCTATGAAGGTGACCTTATTTGGAAACAGTTGTAGATACAAATTTGGATGAGATCATTAAAGTGGGCCCTAATTCAGTATCACTGTTGTCCTGAATAAGAGGATGTGAGAGAGGTGCACACAGAACCCTGAGTGATGACTAAGACACACATAAACCATGTAGCTGAAAATGCCAAAGAACTATATGGGATACCAGAAGCTACAGGAAAGGTCATTTTGTGTCAGTAGTCTAAGCAGGCCTTGCACCTATGGTTCCTGCCTCAGCTTCCGAAGTAAAAGAATGTTTTGAGACTGTCCCTACCAATACCATGATTTCAAGTTTCTAGCCTTCAGCACAATATGACAATAGTTTCAAGCTACCCAGTTTATGATATTTTGTCATGGCAGCCTTATAGTGCTTGAGGCTAGAAACTTAAAATCACAGCGTTGGCAGAGACACAATCTCAGAAACTTTTACTCAGGAAGCTGAGGCAGGAAGCATGGGTTCAAGGCCTGCATACATTGGCCAGATACTAATTTAGCTGTTCAAGACACATTTGTGAACAAGCCAGACCCTGTCTCAAAAGACAATGACAACAAAAAAGCCCTATGGTCTGTGGAAAAAATAACAGCAAGGTAAAGTGTGGTGACAACTGGGCACATTGTCCTGTGATTTTTGAACAAACTAGGCAGATGAGTTCAGTGGCTATTTGAGAGGAAAAGTAACGTCTAAGAAACAAGCCAGGCAAGAGCCATACTGAAGGCACTGCCTGACACATCCTGGGGGCGGCAAAGGCCACAGGAGAAACGTAAGAGACAGGCACATCTTCTCAGGGTTCCTCAAAGGAGACGCGCCCTCTGAGAGTTCTGAGTAAAATAAGATGTTCTAGCTTTAACTAGGTTACTCTACATAATGTGGAGGACAGAGTTGAGGGAAACAATTGATGCAGGAAGATCCGTTAAGAAACCATAATCCCAGTTCCTAGGGAGGCTGAGACAAGAACCTGACAAATTCAAAGCCAGCCCCGGCAACTTACTGATGCTGTCTCAAAATGTATTTTTACAAATGTGAGGGTGTAGCTCAGGGATTGTAGCAAAGTGCCTGCCTAATGCATGAGGCCCTGGGTCTGATCCCTAGCACTGTAAGCAAGAAGGAAACCATTGTAGGAGAGGTGATAGTATAGATGAAGTGCCTACTGGAAGGGTGAGACATCTGATTCTGGAAATATCTTGAAGGATTTGGTGTGGATGTTCCAACTATCAAATGCTATGTAACAGACTTCTCTAAGAACTAGTGGGTTAAAACAAGAATTTTATTTACATATAATTCTGTGCTCAGGAATTGAGGTAAAAAAAGGCTCAGCAGAGCAGTACTATTCCATCTGGTGTCACTGAGGGGAATCACCTGCAGGATGCCATTGGTGTGCTGGAAGTGGGAGGGTGAGAGAATTTCCCTACCCGTCTGGGGTCTCAGTACTTTCTCCACAGCCGCTCTCCACTACACATGGCCTTTCTCTCCATGTGGCTAGCATGAGCTTCCTCAAAGTTTCATCTTACATAGTGTTGCAGGCAGCTGAGTTAGTTAGAAATATTATAGGCAGTGAGACAGGGCTAGGTCCTCAAAGGAGCCAGTGCAGATACCTTACTACTGTGGGGGAGACAGACACCTCCTGCTGTGGGCCAGGCCTCAAGACAAAGGGTCAAAAAATGCATCTACATCCTAAAGGCTGATATTCTAATTAGTTCCCTATCACCCTGAGGAAGCCTAGAGTCACCATCCCAACCCCCTAGGGAAGAGTCACAGCTCTAAGAATGCCTGCTTAATATGCACTTGCTTTCCCATTTGTCCCCAATTTAATCAATTTTACATGAACTACTAATCTTATTGGCTAACCATAGTTCTGTCCCACCTTAGGCCCATGTGCCTTGTGAACACCCACCACCACCACCTTGAACCCATGGTTTTACTCTATATAAAAGTCCCTGGAAAAGACAGTCTTTGGTAATGCGGTCGGAACCCCTTCTGTCTCTCTCACACAGAAGCATTTTTCCTCTCAATAAATATATTCTACTCTTAACCTCCGTTATTCCTAAAATTCATTCTCTGATTCTAGAGAAAAGGAACTCGCAAACATAGTAAGTTGAGAGTTTCACTCTCCTATATCAATAGCACGTGGCACCAAAGGAGTATAATAATTTGCTTACCATTATGTTAATATCCCCTGGATAAAATTAACCACATGGGTGGGTGAGGGGAATACCACAGGCTTGACTCATCCAACAGTACTTTCATAATGGCGTTGAAGGAAACGAGAGAAATCAATGATTCCAAATTTTTGATCTGAATAAGTACAAAGACTATTTTTAAAAACAAAAAAGGAAAATTGCTAATAGAGAAATAGGTTTTTGGACGAGTATCAAAGATTACATTCTGTACACACTGAATGTGGAATAGCTACCAGATATCCAAATGCATGTTTAAGTTTGCGGGGGACCGTGTTAGGAGAATCAAGAGCACCTTACTGCGGTGGATGCTAAGGGTGGAGGTTAACTGTCAAAGCGACCACACTTGTAAAACATTTTTGGTAGTGATACGGGGATAATATCAGAACCTTCAAGTGTGGCATACGAGAAATATTGTAACTCCCAACCTGTTAGATGTCTGAGAGTTTGTTTTCTCTAAAATTGAAGAATAAAGTCGATGAACAACGAAGGTTAAAAGTAGGATTTTTTTTTTTTTTTTTTTTTTTGTCTTTTTCTTTTTTATCGGTACCGGGGATCGAACTCACGACCCGCTGCTTGCAAGGCAGGCACTTATGCCGCTGAGCTAAATCCCCAGCCCCAAAAGTAGGCAGAATGCTCCTGACAGAGGGACAGAAGGGAACCCTTTACATGACAGAAAGCTCCTGACAGAGGGACAGAAGGGAACCCTTTACAGAGAAATCTTACATAGCACAACTCACATGGGTGTAATGTGGGTTACAGATACGATCAACCAATAAGATTCCAAGTAGCTGCTTAGGTAATACTGATCCAATGGGGAAGCCAGTCGGTAAAGTGGGCGTGGAAAGAACAAAGAACTTCTCAGGCAGGTGACAGATAAAAGGGGTGGGATCTTTGGTTGCCCATTGGGTGACTGATGCCTATCTTGCCTTGGTTAGATGAGACTTATCTCACCCCTGGGGCAGTGTGTTGGTCGCTCCTTTGTTGTTATCTTCAGGCCTGGCTTCCAACTGATGGTCTCTGGCCACAGCCCTAGTATTTTCCCCTTTTGTCTGACTTCCTCCGGGGCCCAGCACCGTCGGCCTACAATATTTCTACCTACCCCAGCTGTCTATTATACCAGGACAACAGATCAGGCCTGCCCAGTAACACTTGGACTTAGTACATCTGGGACACCTAGCTTCCTTCCGGGTCTCGGCCGCCCCTCCGTCATCTCGCCCGACCGTGGGCGCTGGGATGAGGGTTACTTAGGCCCACCCCCAACGCCGCGAACCGTGAAGCCCTCACGGCGAGCAGCCGCCTGCACATCCCTCCCTCCCCCACAGGGCGCGGTTCGCGGGCTGCGTAAAGAAACCCGCAGCGGCTCACTGGGTCACTGGATCAAGATCAAACAGGGATGTTACAGCGGCTTTCCAACCCGCTGGCCGAACTCGCGCACTTGCTGGCCCGCCGAGCAGCTCCCCTGAGAGCCGGCGGGCAGGGCCCGGGGAAGAGGGAAAGGAGACGTCCCTTCGGGGCTAGTTCCCAGAGAACCAGGGTCCCGCAGCGAGGAAACCGCTCCAGCTGGCAGGGACCGGACTCACAGGCGCGGTGGAAGCTGCACACGCCACAGTGCTCACAAAGCTGTGCCGCCCCAGGCCGGCCCGCGACCGCGCACGCGCACGGGAAGCAGCCCACAGCTCTAGCCGGGCGAAAGGCACAGGCGAGGAGGGGCGCAGTCCGGTGCGCACGCGCAGTCTGCGGCGCCTTGGCGATGGCGCCAGCCCTTTTCCAGATCTGGTTGGAACTGAAAGCAGTTACTTCAACTCAGCTAAGGACACTTCTTAAATGAGTGTTTTAGGAAAAAATATGGAGAGAGAGGGTTTGTATACCATTGAGTGTTATGGTGAAAAAAACACAAGCCTTCCGCCCAACGTGGGGCTCGAACCCACGACCCTGGGATTAAGAGTCCCATGCTCTACCGACTGAGCTAGCCGGGCTGCCGTCAGGAGGCTGCTCACCGCAGCCCTTTAGAGATCATACCCGCTGCTCAGTTTCCTTCCTACAAAGATGGCCACATACTATGGAATCGACTTTTCAGGATTATTAGTCAAAACTTCTGAACACATTTACTTTTTAATGCACTCGCTTTGGAACTGCTATTTTAACGGGAGCCCTCGCCCGCCATCCTCGGCCAGCAGAGGGATGCAGCGGGTGCCCAACTCGAGGCTCCAGGGGCTCTGAATGCCGAGGTGAAAATGTAAGATAAGAGAAACAGCCTGTCTCGGATTGAGAGATAACGCAGGACGTCGGGACGCCTCCCGAGCAGATGTCGAGCCCGGACTAGGTGGCGGGGTCGCAGGATGCGGACTCTGGCCACGCAGTGCACGGAAGCTGGCGTCCTAAATGGCCAGGTGCCTCTCCTAAAAACCTACACAGAGCAACAAGACATTCCAATTAGTAACAATTTTCTCTTACCCTGGTAAACGAATTTATTTGTGATTGTTTTATAAATTGGTACCGCGGGACTGGAAGTGAATTAACTAGTGTTTGCATATTGTATTATTTATCTTAACAATTGGTAAAGATAATGTATTATCACAATATTATTGAATCTGTTAATCATATATGATTTATTAAAATTACTTATTAAGTACATATCACTTACAAGGTATTCTTAGGAATTCTAATAGATGAATTAGACTCAGCCTCAAAAAGCAAATCACCCTATAAGAAAGATGAGTAGCTGGGAGTGGAGGCACACACATGCAATCCCAGAACTCCAGAAGCTGAGACTGGAAGATTGCCTCAAATTCGAGGTTGGCCTGGTCTACATAGTGAGTTCAAGGCCAACCAAACTTTATAGTAAGTGAGACCTGTCTCAGAAAACAAAAAAAATGTATAAATTTCATGACAATTTTTGTCTTCAAATGTAATTTGGAGTAATTCGGTAAAACAAATAAATTTAAATCCCTTTAAATCATGTAAAAATCAAGCAAATAACCAAAATCCTGAGACCACAATTCTGTGCATCAAGCCTCAAGGTAGGACAGTTCCTCTAACAAGTTCACAGAGTCCCCACAATAATTCATTGAGTGTCCCAGTCACTTAGATACTGTTTATTACACACAAGTAATTAAGTTATTTAAAGGCTTTAACTAAGGCTTGGGGTTTTAGCTCAGTGGCATAAGTACCTGCCTTGCAAGCAAGCAATTGTGAGTTCAATCCCTGGTACTGATAAAAAAGGAAAAAGACAAAAAGAAAAAAAAGGTTTTAACTAAATAGCTAAACAAGTTTAAATACATGAACCTTCCTGTGACTGTATCCGTTTAGCTTTTCTTTAACAGTTTCTTGGCCTATGTTGGTCTAAATTAGAACCCCTCATGAAAGAACTGTGGACTAGAATATTTAATGATAGTTAAGTGACTAGTCTTCCAAATAAACTCCATCTTTTATTCATTCATTTGTTCAAGAATAAAACCTAATCATTAGTAATAATGCTTCATTGGCTGAGAGAACTATTCAAATTCATTTTTTCTTTATTTTTCTGCATCCAGTTCTTCAGCAAGCCCTAAAATTTGAAATCCATCCACTTCTTTTCCACTTGCTGTCTCTACAAATCACTTTCCTTTACCAAAGCACCTACAAACCTATAGCAAATGAGAAATCATTTTTAAAATTTAAATCAAGTAGCATAATTTTCCTGCTTCAAAAAGTCTAATAATTTCATAGCAAAAAACCAACCATCAATATAAAACAGATAATAGATCATTAGAATAATAATTAATTGAAATAAGAATTATTAGGTGGGCTGGGGATTTAGCTCCGTAGCATAACTGCCTGGCAAGTGCAAGGTCATGAGTTCTATCCCAGATACCAAAAAAAAAAAAAAAAAAAAAAAAAAAAATCATCAGGTGCTATTCTTGCACCTGGCTAGCCAGCTTAAGTTACTCAGGTAATTCCCACCATCCTCACTGTCACTCATCCCTGAGCCACCCCCCTTCTTCACAAGATAATAAATTCTGGGAGAAGTCTAGGATCAAGGCCTTTGTCCCCATGTCCTCATGAAGATGGGGCTTAGGACCCTTTGGCTGCTCATAACTTGGAATATATCTTTGTACCTTTACTCTTGACACTGTTTGCATTGGTGGTGGTAGATTGGAATTAACTTGCTGGGATTCCAATAACATCTCAATGGGAATACAAATATAACATTTTGGATTGTGAGGAAAACTAGAAGGAGGATTACAATACTTGGATGACTGAACTCCTTATTTGGGCTTACAATAAGTCTCAGCACTCAGTAGAAGCTGTGAGTTTGAGGCCAGTCTCAGCTATACAATGAGCTGAAAGTCAGACAGGCTGTCTCAACAAAGAACAACAACAAAAAAGACAATACAACAACAACAAAAAAAGATGAAATGCTATGAAAAGTAAAGAACTAAGCAACTATTCTCCAGATTAAAACAGACTGAAAATATGACAACTGCATGAAATGTGTGATCTTGGATCTTGCTTTTGGGAGAATTGCAAAGCTACCAATAAAGTAGATAGTATTTAACTTTCTGATTTTTCACAATTTGAATTGTACTACAATTAGCAGTACTAACTTTTATTCAGCAAAATGTTATTTGGAAGAGATATATACGCAAATATTTAGGATTTATAAATATTCTGCCAGCTTTTTATTTACAATCATATTAAAATTCAGTCTCTACTAGATGTAGTTACATGTCTACATCTCTAATTTCTACTTAATCTGGATGGCAGCTCAGACTTGACAGTTCCTAAAAACAGCCAAGTTGTCCCTATTGGCAGTTTTGTGTCCATTGAGCCTTTTCTTACCTAAATTTCAGTTTAAATATCGCTCCTTTAGAAAGTCATACCGTGGGCACCAAGACAAAAGGTCACATCATTACCTACTAACTCACTGTTTTCACTTTTTAACACTTACTGTAAGATGCAGCTAAAAGGCTATTTATTTTGTTGCCCAGTTCCTACCACAGAACGCAAGTTCCATTTAGAATGGGAGTAAAACTTTTTCATTTTCTCAGCACTGTTTAACATAGGACTTTCAGACATACTAGTGCTTAAAAAATCTAGTAAGTGTGGTTAGCCTTTACTCTAGAAAGGACACCGACAGGTCTGTAAAATTGCAAGTCAAATTGACACAGATGAGATCCTTAAAGTGCAACTGCTACCTAGTAGCCTCAAGAGGGAGAAACAGAGACCATCTAGATACTGGGTTAGAACCAGGAGGTCGAAAACAAAGGGATGGATATTTCTCTTTTGTTTTCTCTGTTCCTTTATTATTTTTTTCGGACTGTTACTATTTAGCCCAGGTCGCTTCGAACTCACAAAGATCCTGAGCTCAACCTCCCAGATATTGGTATTACTGAGATGCAACACCACATCCCGCAGTTTTCTGGGGTTTGGGGAGGTGGGGTGGGGCGGTGGAGAAGAGGAATACTTCTCCACTTCAAGAAGGGAAAGAAATGAAATAATAATAAAAGATAATAACCATTAGGAAAACGGACGAAACAGCTTCTCAATATCCAGCCCCATGACTCAGGGGGCAGACAGCACTGGAATCTTTGCTTCTGCGTCTGCGCGGTGTTCCCACAAGCCTCTTCGAGTCACAGCAGGAGACTCTATTGGTTGGAGAGCGCCAATGGGAGGTCGTGTTACTGGCTTGCATGAGGCTGCGGCGTAGGCTAAGTGCTGTAGGCCTAGAATCGCTACGCGCTCCAGAGGTTTGGCTACGATGAGCTCGATCGGAACCGGGGTGAGTCTGTCGCCCGCTCTGGCGGCCTGGTCGGTGGGTAAGCGTGTCGGTGGGTTAGCGTGCATGCGAGGATGCGGACAGCCCGCGGTGGGGGACTTTGGCCCAGAGCGCCTCAGGCCGGGGGCGTCTCGCTGCTGGCCAAAATCCGCTGGTGGAGGAGACCCGAGTGGTGGGCCGAGGTCGGGACCGGCGACCCCCAGGCACTGCAGCTTGGCGCTCGCGGGCTCCACGGGGCAACTGCAAGGCCGGAGCCGCCTGAGATTGCTGAGTCACTGTTTGAACTAGGGGAAATCGAAAGTGGAACTTTTTGATACTGAAGTGTGTAAAGAGTTTAGTTCTCGCCTAGCCTCGCCTTTAGAGCTCCCGAGGCAACACGGCCCGGTTTCCGGGTCCGGAGCCGGGGCCGCCTTCGAGGGTGTCATAGTGCGGAGTCCTGGATCTGAGACGCTGCGTCTGGTGCATCCGCTCAGCTTTTCTTTCGTTCCAGCCTTTCCTATACAGATTACTTAATTGCATTTTCGGGCACTGATGCTGTAAACGAGCAGATGACTATCTAATGTGGATGTGGGAGTTGGATTCCTTAACCTGCTTGATAACTTTGTTTAGCGTATTGCGTTTATGAAGTGCTTTGCTTGTTCCTTTTATACATATTCATGCAGACAAGTTTTTAAGGAATCTATTATTTCCACTGAAGATGTATAGATTTTTTTCAGTTTATGTATTTCTGCATAGTCAAGATTTTCATATTAAATCCAAATACTGGTGCCTGGGTTTGACAATAGGTAGATTTTATTATAATCGGTCAAGTGAAAATAAAGCTATGATTTATCTTTAATTTCTTTTCTACTTTATGCTTAGAGCCAAGTTGTTTTTGTTGTTGTCATTGCTGCTGATGTTTTCCGCTTCACTCTTAAAAGGTACTCCCTTTTTTCTCTGTTCTCTAGTGAACCCCACCCCCATTTTTGGAGTATCTGAAGGCAGCATGCACTCTTATTTTCGTTGTTTTTTGAGAGAGTCTGGCTGTGTAGTCTAGGCAGGTCTCCAACTGGTGGCGATCCTCTTGACTCAGCCTCCCTAATGCAGGGACTACAGGTGTTCACCATCACGTGTGGCTTCGTTCACTTTTTTTTTTTTTTGGTCTTTTTGAGTCAGGGTCTCACTGTGCAGTTCAGGCTGGCCTTAGGCTCACTTTGCAGCCCAAGCTGGTCTCGAACTCGCAATGATCCACCTGCCTCAGCCTCCCAAGTGCTGGAATCACAGGTGTGCACCAACACGCCCGGTGCTTCGTTCACTCTTATTGACAAAAATTTATTTTCTAGAGGCAGAGAGATATTTTAAAATTTTTGATCATTGCCTCCCTGCTTAAACTCCCTGCTTAAACTCACTGCATTTATAATAAAATACTGTGCCCTACTGCCTATTTTATACCCACTGCAGCCTGAAAGGCCCACCAGAGTTTGGGTCTACTCTCCCTTACTGGTGTAGACACACTGTTCTGCACTTGCTGCGCTCAGAATGCAGGTAAGAAGAGGGGGCCTGTTTCGGTTGCTTGGTTGGGCTCCACGTGTTGCAGCTGTGAGGTGTTTGTGTCAGATGTCAGGAAGGAGCTTCCTCTGTATCCTGAATGGAGGTTTCCTTGCCACTGAGGGCTGACTAATAAAACTTCCTCAACAGGACTTTCTTTGATGAAGCACTCTGTAGTACTTACATCATCTTACTGTTTTACTTATTTTCTAGGAGTTTTTGTTTTTGTTTTGTTTGAGACTGGGTCTTGCTGTGTAGTTCAGGCTGGTCTTGAACTGGTGATCTTCCTACCTCAGCCTCCTAAGTGCTGGAACTACTGGTATGCAACACCAAGCCCAACTCGTTTTACTGTTTCATTTTCATTACTTTTTCTGGTTTAGTTCTGTGTTTCTACCTAAATATGTTTCTGATTGAATTAAACATGAAATACTTTATGAATGAGTGATTATCTTTGTACTTTCACTTAGTGACATATATAATAGGTGCTGGGTGAGGGGCAGGGTCTCCACAGGGTCTCCCTGTCTCACTGTGTTAGCCTAGACTGACCTTGAATTTGCAGTATCCTCTTTCCTCAGCCTTCTAAGTGCTGGGATGATAGGCAAGGGCCACCAAGCCTGGCATAGTGGGTACTTACTAAAGATGAATGTTAAATGCTTTGACCATCACCCTTCAGTTAGTAGTACAGATACAAATGGAAATCTTCTCTCTGGGCTAGAGTAGTTCAGTAGTACAGCACTTGTCTAGCAAGTACCAGGCCCTGGGTTTGCTCTCCAGCACCGAAAAAAAAGAGGTTCAGACTTTCGTCTCTGCCACCCTGTATTAACTTTTTAAGAAATGTGTTGGTAGTTGGGTGTGCTGGCATGTGCTTGTAATCCCAGCACTTGGGATGAGGCAAGAAGATTGCAAGTTCAAAGCCAACCTGTCTCAAAAGAAGGAAAACAAATGAGTTTCACGTCCCATATGAATGAATTTCTGGTGTCCTATAAGTTCAGCAGCAGAAGTCTAAACTGTGACTTTCCCTTGGCCACTGTTTGCAGCACTGACATGCTTCTCTTCCTCTCACAGTCCCAACGCTTAAACATTTAGGGAAAAACCAATTTGGTTGTTACTTATCAAAGACATGTTGTAAACTTACTATTTTTGCCGTGTTTTCTTAGTATGACCTGTCAGCCTCTACATTCTCTCCTGATGGAAGAGTTTTTCAAGTCGAATATGCTATGAAGGCTGTAGAAAATAGTAGGTAAGAAACACTGTTTTACTTGAAGTTAATGCCTTAACCAGGAATTAAATTTCTTTTATTTTGTGTATTTTTAGTAATTAAGCTTTCTTTGACACAAACTAGTACATGCCTGTCATGGTTTATGCTGGTGGCCCCCAGGCCTCATGCATTTGCATTGTGCATTTGTCACTGGTTATTGTCTAGTGCTTAGATTGGAGGTGTGAGTGCTACACTGGCCTAGGGGTGGAGCCAAGATGTAATGTAATGGCCGGAAAAAGGTGTGTCTTGCTCTTTTGCCAGTTTCCACCTTGCTGTTTGCAGCCGCCATAAACTGTGGCCTAGCCATGCCAGCCTGCTTTAGAGCCAACTAAATATGGACCAAAACCTCCAGGAACTGTAAATTATAAACCTTTCCTTTCCCAATTTGGGCTTCATGTATTTTGTCTCAGCAACAAGTAAAAAGTAACTACGACAATGCTCTAAAATTGTCTCACCTCAAGTCATTTCCAGTTTTGTTGGCCAAATTTTTCCCAAGAACTGAGTCCTGTATTTTCAGTTGGCTCCACTTACATAGCCATGTCTAATATCCAGTGCAAAAACTGTGTTTGTTGTCATCTTCTAGCCCAGTTCCCTTTTTGAAATTCTTGATTTATGTCTTTCCAGTGGCTGTTACGTTGGTGACCTTGTCATCTTTCATTTCTCATCCATTTACGTTTTAAATGTCCTTTGCAGTGGTCCCCACGTTTATCTCTGCAGTTTTTTAAATTCTTCTGCATTGATGCTGCCTTGCTCCAAAATGATAGGATCACTGACTGCCTTTATTTGTTGTTCTACTTTCTTGTTTCTTTTATTTTTTAAGTATTATGCTAAAATCATTCTGTTGTACTCCTCTAGCATCTTAGTTTTAGCTGTTGAAAAATTTTGAATGTTACTGAGGAAATTTTGTAGTCACATTTACATGTTTTGAAACCTAAAGCAGCTTTGGAATGAATTAAGGGACTTTTTGGGGGGTTTTTTGGAGGGGGATCATGAATTTAGGGCCTGTGGCTGCTAGACAAGCATTCCAGCACTAAGTTGTACTCCCGACCCTTAGAATGTCATTCAGATTTCACAGGGCTATTTAATATATTTTCCCATCACAATTAAAACCTCTGGATAACGATTGAGCAGGAAAATATTTTTAGAATGTTGAAAAAGCACGTATATCAGGGGCTGGAGGTTTAGCTCAGTGGCATAAGCACCTGCCTAGCAAGCAGGCGGTCGTGAGTTCGATCCCCGGTACCAATTGTCTTTTTCCTTTTTATTGGTACCGGGGATCAAACTCACGACCGCCTGCTTGCAAGGCAGGTGCTTATGCCACTGAGCTAAATCCCCAGCACCCCCCCCCCCAAATTTAAAAAAAAAAAAAAAGAAAAGAAAAAGCACATATATCAAATGCTGGTTTTAGCTGGGCATGATGGCACACATCTGTAATCCCAACACTTGGGAGGCTGAGGCAGGAAGATTGTTGCAAGTTTGAGGCTAGCCTGGACTAAAAGGGAGCTCAAGGCCTGAACTGCAAGACTGGGAGACCTTGTCTCAGAAAGACAGTAAATAAAATAAAATGCTGGTTTTTTAGTTTCTATGAGTTTTTGTTGTTATTTTTGGGAAGTGGCATCCAAGGTCTCACTATTTAGTCCAGGCTGGCCTTGAACCCAGTACGCATCCAGGGTGGTGGTTTTGAATTCACAGGCTTCTGACTGTTGGAATTACAGGCACATGCCACCATGCCTGGCTCCATTAATATTTTTTACACTGTAGTTCAGACTGACCTTGAACTCATTATGTAGCCTCCTGAGTGCTAGGATTATAGGCATGCACCCCCATACCAGGCCTAGATTTTTCATATTTTCATTCCACAGTTGATTGAATTTGTGGTTGTACAAGGGACTAACTGTATTTGTAATTGGAATCTCTTTTCAGAAAATATTCTAAGGAAGGGGTTAAGGCCTTATCATTAAGTTCATTGGCTGGAACAAATAGAACATTCTGTCACTGATGTGCTTTTTAGCTTTTGGTGCTGAGAAATAAACCCAGGGCCTTGTGATTGCAGGTGTTGTACACTGGGCTAATCCCCAGCTCCTGCTGTTTTTCCACACACACTGGGGTGTGTTGCAGTGGGATGCACAGCCTTGCACAGGCTAAGCAAATGCTCTGCCACCGAGTTACATCCCTGCCAACTGTGGCTCAGAAATGCTGAAGGGAAAGTGCAGGGTTGTGGACACAGCCCCGTGATAACCGAAGCATGTACTCCCCATGCAAAGGACATTGGATTCTGTCTGCAGCACCAAAAATGGCAACTGTAATAACAGCTGTTAATTAGCATTAATAACATTTTAAATAAAAAATAGCTTTTCCAAAATAGTAAAACTCATGCTCCCTTTGGCAGCGCATCTACTAACATTAGAACAATCCAGAGATTAGCAAGGCCCCTTTGCAAGGATGACATGCAAATTCATGAAGGGTTCCCATATTTTTAGAGAAACTTAAGCAGTCTGTGCTCTTGGGATTGGTGGTAAAGAAGCTGAAATGAACCGGCCAGACTTATGTGAAATACATTAAAAAGCTTCAACAGTCAAAAAAAAAAAAAAGTAAAATTCTTAAGAGTAGCTTTGTTGTCACTGTTGGAAGTCTTTGTCTTAGCTTGGTGAGACCATGGAACTCTACATGGTGTATGTGCTTCACATAGACACGGGGGAAGTGATCCCACAGACTGGGCATTTGGGAAATAGGGTGCACTGAATTATAAAACAAATGTACATCCTTTATTTCACTATAAACGTACCAAAAACATAGTATTTGTTAATATCACCACCAGTCGCAACATAAAGTCTATAGAATTGGGAAGCAGATGAGAACGGACACAGCAGTGGACATACATTTTCTAGTTTGTTTTTGTCGAGAGCAAATAGTAATTTCCTGTGAAGTAGCTGCTCTCTGTTCATTTTAAGAAACTGCCTGGAATTTGAGCACAAATGAGAAGACCCAGCCTCCCCGAGGGTCTCTATAATCCTGGCTCCAGCATTTCCCCTCTCACAGAAAGTCTGTCCACATGCTTACCCCTTGAGGCAGTCCTCATGGTTGTATGAAGCAGAAGTACTTTTGCCTGCGATTTCATTACTAGACCACCACAAAGACAGGACTGATTGATATGTAGTAAAATCATTGCTTCATCAAAGACATTCTTCAGTGCATTATTTTGTATTCCTTTTTGTTTGTTGTTTTCTGAAACAAGATCTCTTGATATAGTCTGGCCAGACTTGAACTCATTGTGTAGCTGAGGCCAGCCTCAAATCCATGGCAATTCTGCCTCCCAAGTGCTGGAATTACAGGCGTGTGTGATTTAGTACTCTTTGTATTCTTACAAAAATAATCTTGGCTTCTGACTCCTGGAAATGTCTCAAGGAATCCACAGTTTCCAAACTACACATTGAAAAGCTTTAATTTAGAATAAAGATTATTTTAAACATGAGGAAGGTAAATTGGAATGACTATGGAAGGATTTCTAAATGGTAGAGCTTAAGTTTAAGACATAGCTTTCTTGCCCTCTAAGACATCAAGGCAAAAGTGGACCTGGGGTATTGATGGTGAGGGTAAATTCACTGAGTATGTGGTTTATATACCATGCTGAATGAGCCAAACAGGCTTTGCTACTTTCTCAGGGCTTTTACCCAGCAAGCTGGGCAAGGAGTTTCATCTGGAGAGAGCTCAGTGTAGAGGGCAGTGTCTGAAAGTCTTGCCGAATTATCGTGTGTACTTGTTCATCTTCAGGGATGAGGCACTGTGTTTCATCAAATTGGGAGAGGCCTGTGAGTGGCACGGCTTCTCCGCTCTTGAGGCATTAATTCTCAATGATAAATCAGGCTGGAGATCAGGCTCCACAGGTTAAAGGTGGATGAAAGAAGTGGAAAAAATACTGTTATAAACCTGAAATGATAAGCATCTTGATGCTGGTGCAGTTATACAGAGGAAGATGTGGGCATACAAGAAATTCTTAAGAAAAAAGTAATTAAGGCTGGTCTTGCATTCACTGTATAGTCCAGGGTGGCCTGTGGCACTCTTCCTGCTTCAACCTCACAAATGCTGGAATTAAAGGCATATGTCCCCATGTATGGCCAGAATTACTTTTTTTTGGTACCAGAGATCAAACTCACTGATCAAACTACTATCCTTGAGAGGCAGGCGCTTACGCTGCTGAGCTAAATCCTGGCCTTAAATTTACATTTTAATTTTGAAAGAGGATCATGTAATTTCTGATGCCCCATCAGAAATACTTTTATCAAAAAGGATAAATATAAATATTTTAATTTTGAAAGATCATATAATTTCTGTTGCCCAGCTAGAATTTTATTAAAAAGGATAAGAAATATACATTTTAATTTTGAAAAAGGATCATACAATTTTTCTACATCTTGAGATTAAGATCTTTTTAAACAGTTATATTTTCTTTTTATAGATTTACTGTAAAAAATACACGTTTATCACAGAAAAATTAGAAAAGATAACTAGTCATAATTACTCTATCCAGATTAGTCACTTTTTTAAAAGTTTGTAGATAAAAAAAAAAGTTTGTAGATAACCTGTTTTTGGCCTCAGAGATTCTCCTGTCTCAGCCTCCTGCGTATTGAGATTGCAGATGTATGCCACTGTGCTAGGCTTAGTCTGCCTTTATATGTTTCTTGTACCTTTTTGGTTTTTAATTTCAGGAGATTTAATTTTTAAATTTAAAATTACATGTGGGTTTTTTTTGGTACATGTGGGGTTTTGTTTTTTTGAGAGGTCTTGCTGTGTAGTACATGTTTGTAGTGCACGATGACACATTGTGGGGAGTTAGTACATATCTTATTTGTCAGTTTTACTTATTAGCACAGGTGTCCAGTGCATACTGTCACATTCCTGTGTGGAGATGGCCCGTGTACATGATGCATCTTCACCCTTTTTTTTATCTCTTTCCTTTCTCTTTGCTACCCCTCCCTCCAGCTCTCAGTCATGTTCCCTTTTGGCAAAGATCTGTCTTCCTTTTCCAGTTATCTAGTATCTTCTAATGGACATCTTTGTAACATGACTAGCTTACCAGACACTGTGCCAAATTATAACTTTTTTTTTTCTGTCTTTTTTGAGACAGGGTCTCGCTGTGCAGTTCAGGCTTGCCTTGAGCTCACTTTGTAGCCCAGGCTGGTCTCAAACTTGCAACGATCCTCCTGCCTCAGCCTCCTGAGTGCTGGGATTACAGGGATGAGCCAACCACACGTGGCTTTATAACTTATTTTGTTAGCACTGTTTAAATTTACTTTTGGCCAGCTGAAACAGTAGATTTGTTTTCTTTTTTCTTTTTTAAAATCTATTAAGATTTTTTTTTTTCTTTTTGTACAAAGGATCAAACTCATGATCTCGCACTTGCCAGGCAGGGTGCTTATGCCACTGAGTCAAATCCCCGGCTCAATATAGTAGATTTTTGAGGAGTGTTAATGTGAGAATTTTTTTATACAGATCTAATTGATTTACCACACTTTGGGTTATTTTTCTTTGTAGTTTTTAAATATCTTAACGTATGCGATGTGCTTTAAATGTTACCTATTTTGTGATTGTTTTATTTGGAAGTTTTTTCTATTTTTAGTTAAAAAATAATTTTCTCTTTGTTTCAGTACAGCTATTGGGATCAGATGTAAAGATGGTGTTGTCTTTGGGGTAGAAAAATTAGTTCTTTCTAAACTTTATGAAGAAGGCTCCAACAAACGACTTTTTAATGTTGATCGGCATGTCGGAATGGTAAGGTCACATTTTAAAATGTTTCTCTTGGTCTAGTTTCTTTTGAAGTAACTGTAATACAATAAATGGGGTTTTAGGAACTCATTTATTTCTTTAATGTTGAGGTGGTAGATCACTGAGCAACTACAAAGATAATCTGAATGAACTGAGTTCCAGGCTTTGAATAGTTCATTGTGTAAAAGAAAGGTTAAGCATCTCATAACCTGATTGATGACAGATACGGAAAATCAAGTTACCTTAAGGAGCCAGGGTTGGTAGTGCTCACCTGTAATCCAGCAAAGGCTTTTGTGTCCTTTGTGGGGATTACTGTCAAATCAAAGATGGTATAGTCAGAAAATATTTATAGGAAGGTAGAGCACCAGGAAAAATGTATCCAAGCTGTCTGAACAGCTGCTGCACACCAGCACAAGCTAAGACATACACACAGTAGCATAGTCACCTGTGTACATGGTAGACTCCTTCAGAGCACTGTACCACTAAAGAAACAGGAAGCAGGTGCTCCCAATTCTGCCATCTGAAAACGGAACACGCTGCCTGGCTCTATGTTATAACTCTCACTTCATCCTGACAAACATGGGAAGGTGGTATTAGTCCCACTTTACACTGGTTCACGTGGGATTCAGCCCATTCTGTAGCCTAACCCTGTAGGACCCACTCCCTTTGCTGAATGTTTTGCTTTCTTTCTTTCTTTCTTTTTTGGGTGCCAAGGATTAAACTAATAACCTCGCACTTGCCAGGTGGGTGCTCACACTGCTGAGCTAAATCCCTGGTCCTGCCTTGCAGTTTTTCAGTGAGATGTAATGTTAGATAAACACAGAAAAGACTTGTAAAATATAACCAGGAAGTCATAAAGCCCATTCTGGTTTTTGCTACAGTGATTATATTTTCTAAACAGTTTCTCTCATGACCACATTAATTATTGTCAATAAAACTTGCCACTGTAACCTGGCTAGTCTGGAAGTACATTTAAAGTCAGAAATCTGATGGCATTTTTTATACTTGGAAACTGGCAAAATATTAGACACTGAACTCTGAGGGTTAGAAAAAATGAAGGTGTAATATGCTTTCCACAGTTCTCATCTTCAGAGTGACTTGAGAATTATTAGACTTCACAGTTTACTGGTACTTACCTCATACAGCTGTGGTGTGGTTAAATAATGGCACAAAATGCTTATCCTGCAACAGGTACTCAGTGTATGTGTGCAATTTAGCTACTAGGGAAAAGATGTTTAAAGAGTCCAATACCATTTTTTCTTATTGTCAAATATCACTTTTTAAATTTTACAAATTTAACCTAGCAGGTTCCAAGCTTTGTCGGTTCATGGTAATTTGTGTCAAAAGACTTGTTTGGGCTGCGGATACAGCTCTGCAGTATAAGCGCCTACCTGTCAAGGAGATTGTAAGTTTGATCCCTGGTACCACAAACAAACAAACAAACAATTTCTGTTCATGGCTTCTACATGGTCAAAAATACCCCATAACTAATCGCTTTATAAAATAATTAGATCCAATTTAATCTGTATGTTCTAAGACCAGTAGCTTTTTAGAAAAAACAATGAAAGAAAAATATTTTTAAAGATTATATTGCATAACTTTCTAATCAGATCAGATGTTGCCTCGGTCAGTTGCTTTTTTGTTTTTTAGACAGGGTTTTACTCAGTAATTCAGGCTGGCCTTAAACTCACTATATAGTCCAAGATGGCCTTGA